GATGCCGGACAGTGCATTTTCTTTATTAATCTCTCGAACTGGTAGAAGTAATTCACACTGATAAAAAAAAACAAAACAAAACAAAAAAACACGGCGCCAAACATGTGTGTCTACGCTGACCGTATCTTGTGTGTTTCGGCAACATTTTACCTCTCAAACAACTCGACAGTGTGAACATGCATGAGTACCCGACATTGTAAAGTTCATGTGCCATATCATACCATCGTGGGAGTCGTGTAAATAACGAGACTAAAATAACGTTTAAAATATTAATAATACACACACGTACACGAATATATAAAAATATATATACATTTGTAATCAAGCATTTAATAGTGTCTGGTACAATAAAAGTTACGAAAACAAAAGACTACAAAGTCATTGTGCCGCTATTACGTCTGTATTGTTCCTCGTCATGGGTCATAAATCGGTATCACCTGCACTTACTCGAGCGGTTCTATCTCAGTCAGCTACCAGGCGTTATGCAGTTGTTAGTGAACAGAATGTTGTATCCCATTTTCCTATGTAATTGATGAGACGTCATTATCCCTAAAATGGGGGATGGTTGAACTAAGTATATGTTATAATGTGTTTTTGTAGTTATGTCTTAGTTTTGTTGTCGAATGAAACCGTAATTACATTTGTGTATGAGTTAATTTCGGATGAATATCTAACTGAAGAGTGAAGAAAGCTTCTTTTTTTTAAAAAAACATTTTTCGCGATGGATCGTCGTCAAAAAAATAAATGGAAATGCCGTTTAAAATAAAAAGTTGCAAATGCATTAAATTATGGGGTGGGGCATAAGGAAGTAATGATTAGCAGTTCGGATTGAGCAATTGGAGAGCCGTGTTCGAATTCTACTCGAGTTCAGTGAATTCACTTACGCGCTAATAAGCTTGGGGAAGGTATGGATACATTTATTCTCCACAGCAATAAGTAAATAGCATATAAGCATTGGGTCCTTAAGGACTTCGTAGACACCTAGGAGAAGGAAAAATCTCAAAACGAGAGAATTTGGTAATAAATAATCAGGCAAAATATGCTTGAAAAACAAAACAAATTAAAGAAGATGGAAGTGAGCGAATGTGTATAAATTTAAAAGTGTTGAAGTAATTATGAAGAGACTATGGTTAGTTTTTCTTGAGCATGGCTTAGTTTGACATAACAAGAGTAAGAATTAAACTCACTAGTAAAGACTAGTGACTAAGTTTTCACTTGGTACTCTATGACAGGCAACATGTAAAAATACCAGCATAATCTAAGTTTTGCAAATAAAACTTAGCTCATTCTTCTTCGCAAATTATAGTGTTTCTGATCATTTTTTCATTTGATTCCTTATCAAACTGCGCAATTTTGTCATGAACGGCCTGAAAAGGGTCGGATCCCGTCAAGTTTTGTTGCCCAACACTTCTACTATGACTACAGTACATGTGGTACCTCTAAGACTGTGAGATTCGTGATCGAGATGAATTAAAATTCCATAATCTATGAGTCCCCCACGATTAATATACGACCAGCTTCTTTCATTTTACGCCTGTTTTTGCAAAATTAGTACTAACACAATTTGGGATATGTAAACTTTAAAACCAATGAATATATAAGTATATAAAAATAAGTAGACATCGACGTCATCAGAAAAATAATTTATTTTTAAAAAATTTGCATTAACGAGACAAAACGTGATTCGAGATAGGCATATGAACTCTTGGTTTTTACTTTAAATTTATTGTTTTAAAACTTAGATTTTAATCTACTTATATATATATATATATATATATATATATATATATATATATATATATATAAAACCTCTCATCTACGGACCCCAACCAACGGATTTCGGATGTAAATTTGCAGGAAAATAAAAAATATATCTTCAGGAAAAAACTTTCAAATCGTCAGCTATGTATTTCAAAATTTGTGGGCTTAGCAAAAAGAGTCGTATTAGTTCTCAAAGTGTCCGCTTGGTGGCAGTGGCGGGCTTTTCAGTTGTAAACAAAGACGGAAGTACGATACATTAGCGCCTGCGCAAGAAAGTAGCTGTACGAAATCTATCATTTTTTTTTATTTTGATTAATATATCTATATTAGTTATATATTAATTTATGCCATGTATACATGTTTATAGTATTTACATTATGATCATAATTACTGGTAGTTACTATAGTGGTTTTATAACTCTAAAATAATCTATTCCCATCTACGGACAATCGGAATTAACGGACCACCCTCTCCGCCTATTAGTCGTTGATGAGAGGTTTTTCTGTACACACACACACACACACATATATATACACACATATATATATACGCATATATATATATATATATATACATACAGAGAGAGAGAGAGAGAGAGAGAGAAATGAGGTAGATAATAGAAAAAGAGAAGTTCAAAAGACTTATTTTAGGAAAGATAAACTTCTCTATTTATTTGCTCTTATTGATGTATTTTTAACAATATTGAGCACTTTTCTTACAAAATTTTGGTCACCTTTAAATGTACTAAGCTCCATTAAGTTACTGGACTACGTTTTTCCTTATGCGTTAACGGTCTGTATTTTAACTATCTATAATTGAACCTTGCAGTCTAAAGTACATCGCATCAAACGGTGTTTTTTCTCGACAGTAGGGACGTTGTTTCGATCCCCAACAGAATGTACAATGGCTTTAATAAGATTCTTGAATTCGAAGGTCGATAGACGGAATTTTACACCGTTTAAAAAAATAAGACGTTTACTTAAGTAAATCTACCTTAAAGTGTATCTACCTAATATAACGTTTAAAGTCAAATGAAATAATGAGGGATTGAAATTAAATTCCATTAATTCCTTAGTAAATTTGCTTGTCAAACATTTCGTTGTCTCGACTTCTGAGAACATTAACCTCTGACTGTGTTCACATCCACTGTTTTTTTCCGTAAACGTTCAGCAAGCATCGATAAATTTAAGAGGGTACAATTTTTCGTATGAAATTTCATGTCAGGCTACATTTTACAGACTACTCTTCAGCTATTATCTGCAACAAGACAAAATATATGTTACTGGCAGGAATGTTCTGCTTGTAATGCCATACTACAAATATAACATCGTAGACCAACATATAAGATATGAAGTATTACTTTCAAAGTGACCCTTGAGCATTTGTATCTAAAATACTTCATTAAGGAAACCTACAACATCAGGCTGCCTGCTGTTGAGTGAAATCGGGCAGGTTAATTTAAAGTACTATTAAATTCAGTTTTCACTTAGTGTTTTATTTTTGCGCTCTTTGATGTAAGGTGGGGTTACTGAGCGTGAAAGAAATAAAGCTGTCAATAAAATAACAAAATTCAAGAAGGCAGTTAATGACGATTAGAATTGCATTTAAATATTCCTTCAGAAATTGTTGAAAGTAAAATATTTATGTGTTTTATGATCTGAGAATACCTTTAATTCGATACAAAAAAGCTGAGAAAATATATTAACAAATTTCCACATGAACAAAGAATTATAAAAAAAAAATAGATACAGAATAAATATTAACGGCTTTTTAAAAAGTCACTCATTTTCTTTTTTAATGACGAGAAACGCTAGCTTAGGGGAAAAGTTCTATGATTCATTATCTAAGCATAAAAACATTTCTTTCTTTCATTTTTGGATTTGATGAAACCTTGAAAGGCGAAACGCGTAATCAAATCTAGTTTCAATCAAATCTATTTTCAATTAAACGTTTTCCAGTGACACACTTACTGGGACGATTTATTAACAGAGTTGCATACTATCTTATCTACAACTGCATCCTGGGTAAGACGATAAACTACATCCAACAGCAAGGTTTTGAGAAGCGTGGAACCACCTCTTAAATGCTGGTGTTTCCAGGTCCAGCATGACCCAAAGTGGTAGCACCAGTTAGGGACCCAGCTATGGGCAAATAGCTAACCCCCAAACTGGGGTCAAATCACTATGAAAGTGTAAAAATAGGTTTTAATACCTGGATACATTTTTGTAATAATTATTATCGGGAATGAATTTTGAAGAAAAAAATTATTACCAGCAACACATTTTTGGAAAAAATATTACCAACAATATAAATCTTGTCGGTATTGAGTTTGATATGCCGTAGGACAAACCAAACCAAACCAAACCAAACCAAAACATTCTTATCGTGTCAGTTTCTAGAAGTCAAACCAACGCCAGGAAATAAAAAAAAATCATACTAGCAACTAAATATTTTCTTCAGGATGACATTATTTTCTGTGAATTGTATCGGCTACTTAGGAAATATAGTGAAGTAGTTTCTTGCTGCCATCATATTCTAGAATGGCTGGCAACCAGGGCTGGATAACGCAGCCTATCCTACTATTTAATCTATAGTTGCCGGGATGAATAAGAAGTGGATTTATCCTAACAATTACTGCAACGCATTGAGCTTACTCTAGTGGTTAAATGTCCGAATTATGCAAGTGGCTAGGGTTCGAATCAGGGTAAAAGATAAGATTTCATGAAATGTTGATTTATAGAAAAAGCAACTCCTTCAATTGTACGGTAAAAAAAACAAAAAAAACATTGCATTCTTTTAGTTCAGTTTAGTAAAATCGGCAGCTGAAGTAACACTTTGATGCCTTGATTGCAAATAGTTTCAGTAACATTTGAGGCTATGATTGCAAATAGTCTAAGTGACACTTTTATGCCTTGATTGCAAATAGTTTAAGTTACACTTTGATGCCTTGATGAAATGAGATTATTTTACAAATATTGAGAAAAATAACTAGAAATTTTGAATGAAGTAACAACGATTTCAAGTAAACTTGTCAAGTACTTTACCTTTTTATTTTGCATTCAGTAATCCCCACCCCCTTAACGCGGCTCAGTTCAACATTGATTTGCTATCAGGCTCATTTTCAAGTGGTTTTCGTAATACATTTAATCAGGGTAGAATTTTCAAGATAAATAATGATTAAACACGGCATCTTCAAGAGTTTCTGAAATATCTGTGTAATTTCGTTACGAGGATTATCCATGAGAATAAACACAATAAATCATCACGTAGCAGAATCTATCTATCTATCTATCTATCTATCTATCTATCTATCTATCTATCTATCTATGTCTCGTCACATTCTATCTCAGTCTCTTTACAATCTATCTATCTATCTATCTTCATATTATATCTACCTAGTAATATTTAACTACTCTATTTAACACTGATCCGTTTAGCGCTGATTCGCTATTGTTTTTTTTTCAAGTAATCCCCGTAATAAATTTAATCATATTACATTTCCGAAATAAACTGAGATAAAATATATCCACATGGGCTCATTCTAAGTCACGTGTCCCTCCACAACTTCCTATATAGAGTAGCTCTAAGCAATGTTTGTCCCATGAATATCTTTTCAGTCATCCATGTACATCAACTCGTAAGTTAAGTTACCTGCTGTTTCTTCTAGCCCCACTTGTTTCAGAATTTCCTGTAAGTATCAAATACTCTAAGCCAACCCTCTTCATTATGCATTCCATAATTTCAGCATTTCTCTTTCTGATTCCCATGTCTGCTTAGTTCCCATTTTCTTACAAAGTTCCTCGTTGCTCTTTGTGTGTGTCTGTGTGTCTGTGTGTGTGGGGTATTTAGGCAGCATATTTTCATTCAAGCATATTTGGTTGAATTATCTAGACATATAATGTCTATTTATTTTTATTTTAATCCTCTAAAATTCCCGGATCAATTTCTTAATGCTCTTACAAAACTAAGAACGACGCCATAGTTTTGGTCATTTCTTTTGCTTTCCCCAAGTACTTTCAATCTCATCCAGTTTCATGCCCAAGAGTAAATTAATGTAATCGAAGTAATTAATGTAATAACGGAGTGCCTGAAAGTTAATTTACATTAATTATATGTAAGGGAAGTAACTTAGGTTAAATTTTGTATTGTTAATGTTTTAAAAATACTCAACTCTTTAAAAAAAATTGTTTTCAATTTGAGCGTCCCCAAAACATTGTTTTCTATAAAAAATTCAAAACATTGTTGCTATAAATAATTTTATTTAGTGCTGATTCTGTTTTTCTTCATATAAAACGCTTCGAGAATTCGAAGTTTATGTTTTTTTATTTTCATGGTGGAGTATACGTGTATTGTCAATTAATATTTCTCTAAAACGTGAATGTGGACTGGAATTGAATCTGTCATGTGTAATATAAGCATCCTCGATAAGGTTGCTGTTGTGAAACAAACATATATATTTATGTTTTGTCAGAGATACAATCTCCCAAAAGAACATTTAAATTGATATACGATGTTGGTCTTTTGCAAAATATTAATTGACGGAGAAGAGTGATTACGTCTGATTAAGTTGATGTATTAAATTTAGTATAGTATATAATTAGTTTTATTATTTTTACTGGGATCACTGGGGGATATATTAGTACTTATGAGTTTTTTTATGATTTTTTCATCTTGTTTGTAGTTAGAGTGTATTTTATTGCGGTATAGTAGGTTGATATGTCCATTTACAAAAAATTCACAAATATCGATTACACTAATTTTTGTCTAACAATTCACTCCTGAAGATGATCTTGGATGAGATTGAAAGTATTTGGGGAAATAAAGGAAATAACCAACATTACGGCGTCTTTCTTATTCAGTTTTGTAGGAGCACTAAGAAATTGATCCGTGAATTTGAGAGGATCAAAATGAAATAGATAGATATATTTCTAAATTATACTAACATGCTTGAATATATATATATATATATATATATATATATATATATATATATATATATATTCTCACCGGTAGTACGACTCAGTTTCATGCACAACGCAATCTTCAGGTGCTGATTAGATATTTTTAATATATAATTTATAGGTCTTTTATATTGTATCTAGCACTATTTCATTAACAACAGGACCGAACGTGCGATATCTTTTTAGTTTTGTCACGTTTGATTTCCATTGGTTCAGCATACTTCACGTGCATTTGACTAATCAAGCAGCTTTTGTGTGTATAATTTATGTGAAATTGTATAACACTTTGATAATTGTGTGTGTGTCTAGTTTTTTTTTCTTTTTTTTTTTTTAAGCATTTCACACCAAGCAAGGCGGGAAGCCACTAGGACGCAAGGGGTTACAGAAAGTTTAGAGCAAGATCAGATAGGAGTGATAGAAGAAAGTTCTTGAGCTGACTTCCGACGTCTCTCGAACTCTCTGCGTTAGCAGAGAGGAACCTCAAACGAGGCTTTTGCCGAAGGGCAAAATTTCGTCCGGGAGGTAGACAGGGCCTGAACCCGTCTAATCGGCTTCAAAGGTTATTTTTTTTGGCCGAGCCTACGGGCTCGGAGAAACCCACAATAAAACCGGCTTTGTGCCATATTCGTTTCCCGTGGGTGAAATGATAAATACCGAAGAAAGGATGAGGATAGTAGATAGATCAAGGCAACTGGAGATGTCTATTGACATTACACTTGAATAGCTGGAGATTCTAGCTCACAGAGAAACAGGAATAGGGAAGGGAGTTCCACATGCGAGAGGTGCGAGACATGAAGCTATTGGAGTAGAAGAGACGGCTACATTTAGGAGTTTCGACAGTGAAGGGGTGAGAGCGGGATGCCAGCCTTGTAGAGCGCTTGAACTCATCAAGTCTGGGAACCAGCGAATGTAGCTCCTCGAAGCAATTGCCATGAAAGTATTTGTAGAACAGACAGAGAGAGGCGACGGCGCGTCTGTGAGAAAGTGACTGTAGACGAGACGCCAGGGCAGAGCCAACTACATTGCATATCCGCCTCTGGTGCCTATCAAGAACCCCGAGGCAAACAGAAGGGGCACCAGACCATATATGGCAGCAATACTCCATGCAAGGGCGAATTGTGGATTAGTAGATCTGGAGGATCGACTCCGGGGAGAAAAACTTCCTAGCGCGGCTCAGGGAGCCAACTTTCCTTGCAGTGCACGAGGCAATTGACTCGATGTATTTATTCCATCTCAGGTCAGCAGTCAACGTGGGACCGAGAAGCCGCAGAGAGTTGCTCTCGAGAAGTTGAGCGTCAGACATTCTAATGGAGGGCAGGGAAGGATCTCTGTGGTGATTAATAGAGAGCAGTTTTGTCTTAGAAGCGTTGAAGTTGACCAGCCAATTCATGCCCCAGTTCACAATCGATTGGAGGTCCTTTTCGAGACGCACGGCCAGGTGAGTTTTGTCAGCGAGACTTTGTTTTTGAGGCAGGAATAAATTGTGGTGTCAACCGCGTAGATGCCAACTTGAGAAGTTATGGCGTCAGGAAGGTCATTTATGTAGATAAGGAATAGAGTGGGGCCTAGGATGGAGCCTTTGGAACACCTGCGTTCGCGGGATAGGAACTGGAGGAGAATCCATTGAGAACGACCTTCAATTCATGGTTTGACAGGTCAAACAATCGACCCGTAATGCCATAACCCTGGAGCTTGCGAAGAAGGCCGGCATGCCAAACCTTATCAAATGCTTTGGAGATGTCTAGTGCCACGACTCGGGCTTCCCCGTTATTTTGAAGAGCTCGGTAGACTGTTTCAGTGATGGCCGTAAGCGCATCGGCTGTAGATCGCGCAAAGCGGAAACCATATTGCTTGTCTTAGAGCAGATTATGGGATGTGAGGTGGTTAACCACCCCGGTATTGATTAGGGCTTCGAAGACTTTGCCGAAGAGGGGAAGGAGACTGATAGGACGGTAGTTGGAAGTGTCAGAGGGGTCGCCGGAGTTCTTGAAGACAGGAACGATCGAAGAGGACTTCCAGCAGTCAGGAAAACAAGATTCTTTGAGGCAGTAGTTGTATAGTTTAGAAAGGGCAGGCGCCAGTTCAGGCGCGCATTTCTTCAAGACAATGGCTGGTATCCAGTCTCCACCACTAGCCTTGTTGGGGTCTAAATTGGAGATAACGGCCAGTACCAAAGATGGGGTTATGTTTAATCCACTCAATATGGCCTCAGTTCTAAGAGGGAAGTCGGGTATGGGTACACCGGAAGAGTCGAGCGTCGAGTTGAATGAAAATTTCCGAGCAAAGCATTCAGCCTTGTCGGTAGAGGAGGTCAAGACTTCGAACTTGTTGAATAAAGGAGGTATAGAGAGCTTGCAATTGTTCAATACGCTCTTGCAGAGACGTCAATAATCTTTGGAGCCAAATTTGCGAGATGCAATACGTTCCTTCATCCGAGCCGCAAATAGTGACTTAGCATCGTTGAGAACACGCTTACATTCGTTACGGGCGGAGGCAAAGAGACGTCTATTGCAGTCAGATATGTCGCCCAGGAATAGGTGGAAGTAGTGGTTCCTATGGGCGATGGCGGCTGAGCAAGCAGCCGAGAACCAGGGGGAGGAGCGCGACTTGACCCTATATTTCCTTGATGGGATGAAAGCGTCGATTCCAGCTTTAACCCAGGAAGAGACATCAGAAGCACATTCTTGGACGGGGAGCTTAAAGACTCCATTCCAGAGATGAACAAATAATGTCTACTACTACACACACCCGCACGCGCATACATATATACAAAGCATAACCTATCTAGTGAAGTTGAGTAAAATTTATTTAGAGCTACCAATGACAAGAGATTGTGGAGGGCCATGATCACTAACGTTCTGAAAGGACACGGCACATAGAAGAAGTCGCAGCCCGATTAAACAAAGCCCTCTAGATTTCTTGTCCATATAAATATATTCGATAAGATTAAATCATTGTCAGACCGTTGTGTAAACATGGCAGGTGGGTATAGAAGTCCTTAGCAACAAAACACGTAGAGAAAAGACTTTCCAATTCGCGCGAAGAGAAATCCTTCTTGAGTGATAACCTCTGACCCGGTGCAGCGCAATGTCAGTGACTCATTTTAGGAGTTCCACCTGCTTTTACAGCTTTTTTCCTTTCACTAAAAACGTGACACAAGAGTTTCTGATATGTTCTCTTTTCTTTCTTCCTTTTATACACTCGCGCACACACCTATCTATCTATCTATCTATCTATCTATCTATCTACT